GCGCTAACCACTGACCTATGGGGGCTGCACAGGACTTTTTGTTAAAAGTCATTCTCATTTGGAGTCAATTGATATTTCATTGTGGTTTTGATTTACTAACGTTAAATTATAAAAGGCTTATCACCATGTACAGTCACAGTGGGGGAATTATGGCATCAACATACGAATGGGTGGGTAGGGTGTCTGCACAGTTCAGTCTATAGTAGCTTATCTCTCGTTTTAAGAGTAAACACGTACTACCTACATAACATCTTTTATTCTTAGATCTATCTTTTTTGAATTAAAAATAACTTAGTATTCTTCCCCTTACAAAGAAACTCATAGTATTAAAAAAAAATCATAAAATGGCCAAGGACAGTGGTATGAGCCTAAAGATCCGGCTACTCAGAAGGCTGTGGCAAGAGGATCGCATGAGCCAGGGAGATGGCAGTTGCAGTCAGCTATGATCATACACCACTATACTCTATCCTGGGCAATCGAGCAAGAGCATGTCAAAGAAAAACGAATTATTAATTAGAAGGCCACCACAGCTGCTTGTTTATGGGAGACAATTAAAAGGTGACTTTTCAGTAGTCTTCCAAGTTAGAAAAAATATGCAAAAGGGGTTACTTTTCTGAAGAAAAAATAAAATGTTTGTGTTTATGTGTGTACAGAGATGGAGTATTTCTGTTATGGACAGAGACAGAGATAGAAATAGACAGAGTTCTGATGCATAACCTTTGAAGAATTATTTCTTGCATCTTTATTGTTGAAGGTAAATTTAGCTCTGAGGAAAGATGTCAAAGTGACAGGGCTAGACACTGAAGTTCTCTATCAATGGCTGTCTGGTGAGGTAAGGAAAGAGAGTGAACATTTCTCATGCAAGGCACTGCACAGTTATAGATCTCTAAGTACTTAAACCACTCCTGAAAAATGATGGATTAGTCATTGTTGAGTACAGAGAGTCTGACTCAATATTAATATACTCATGATATTATTGAATGTGGTCAAATTCACGTTCTCATAAAAGGCATATAACTGTGCTAATTTGGATCATCTATACAAACATATAATTGCCAGTATAACACTAATGAAATCAGCACCATAAAATGGACGATTAGTAGTAAATATAAGTGTACACAATGCATTTGGATAATATACATGCATTCCTCACTACAGCCTGTACATGATAAGGAAGAATGATTAGAACACCCCTATAGAGGGTTTCTTACTATGTGTTAAGAGAGGTACCATATTAAACACAGCCAGCTAAAGACTCCCAGGCACACAACTGTAGTCAGTTAAGTGTATTCGCTTGCTGCGTGTAGCAAAGGGGAATTCATGCCACACCTCAAAGAAGTTCAAGAGTGGGGCTTAAGGAATCTTGGAGGCTGAAGCTAGTTTTGTGACAGGATGGCATTGGCAGGAATTTGACCAAATTTTTCAACTAAGGAGTAGTGGGAACAGTCAGTGAAATATTTCTTTTAAAAATTCCTTTTTGTTGGCTCGGCGCCTGTGGCTCAAGCGGCTAAGGCACCAGCCACATACACCTAGGGTGGCGGGTTCGAATCCCCAGCCCGGGCCCGCCAAACAACAGTGATGGCTGCAACCAAAAAATAGCCAGGTGTTGTGGCGGTCACCTGTAGTCCCAGCTACTTGGGAGGCTGAGGCAGGAGACTCGCCTGAGCCCAGGAG